TGACCCCTTGGGTTGTCCCTGTGGTGTCTGAGAGGAGGTCAAGGTTTGAGGATGGGTAACATGAATAAGGTATATAAACAGAGGAATATGTTGATGTTTTATTGTTGCTACAGCTGAAAAGACCTGACTAGTGTTATGCCAAATAGGTTTAAAATTGCTTCACATTTTTCTGATGGGTACCTTGTGTACTAAACACAGATGAGCACACACACACGCATGCAATCTACAAATCTATTAATGATTATCCTTTACCATTTTCCTCTAATTTTTTTCCTCTGCTGTCAGACAACTGTGCACATATATTATCTATGTGCACGTGTGCATTGGCCTGATTCTGTTGGTAGTATCTTGTTTTCTGAAGGTCAGGACAGGAGTGCTGCGTCCAGCTCTGAAGCCCCCAACATAAGAAGGATATAAACCGGTTGGAGCGAGTCCAGAGGAGGCCACAAAGATGCTCAGAGGGCTGGAGCACCTCTGCTGTGGGGACAGGCTGAGAGAGTTGGGCTTGTTCAGTCTGGAGAAGAGAAGGTTCCGAGGAGACCTTATAGCACCTTCCAGTACCTGAAGGGGCTACAAGGAAGCTGGGGGAGACTTTTTACAAGGGCCTGTAGTGACAGGACAAGGGGTAACAGGTTTAAATTGAAAGTGGGGAGCTTTAGATTCGATATCAGGAAGAAGTTCTTCACAGAGAGGGTGGTGAGGCACTGGAACAGGTTGCCCAGAGAAACTGTGGATGCCCCATCCCTGGAAGTGTTCAAGGCCAGGCTGGATGAGGCTTTGAGCAACCTGGTCTAGTGGAAGGTGTCTCTGCCCATGGCAGGGGGGGTGGAACTAGATGATCTTGAAGGTCCCTTCCAACCCAAATGATTCTGTGATTCTATGATTTACATATGCACTTGATGGTGTGACAATGCTGAGGTTTGTTCAGCCATGGTGATAAAAAACCTACATGCTAAAGATTCTTATCCTGTGCTTTCCAAGTGGTGTTGCAATAAAACGTGCTTTAGTAGGCTCTTAGAAGTTGGCTACAAAAACCTGTAATTTTGCTAGGTTTTTTAGATTCTTCTGTGTTCATGTCAATGAGGTTTACTCTGACAGTTTGTAAATGGAGAAAACACCGACCTATAAATGCTCTTAATATTGAGCAGCAGTTCAGTTGCTTCTGTGTCCTGCAGACAGGCAGCCTCATTTGGTGAGATTTGGAATTTAACATGGAGATTATCAGGCCAAACCTCCTTTTTTCATGAGACAGAACCTCATTTTATACAGTAGGGATTAGCGCAGTTAAATTGTATTTTGCAATGGTTGTTTTAGCCTCAGACCTGGTTAGGGCTAGTTGCTGATTTAGGGGATTTTACTCTGTCTCCATGCTTTATTCTCACCCACCTGAAAGCGTATTCGCTTTACTTCTCGTGGCTGGCTACATAATGGCAGTATAGGGATTGTATTACACTTCCCAATCTGTCGACATGGAGACTGGGCAAGAGCATAACAAACCAGTATTGCTTCAACTCCCTGTCTCCAAGGTAAGGCTAATCAGCTTTCATTGGAAACAGCAATCAGGGATTGCTTTATCGCTCTCACTTGTTTTTTAACTTCTTGGTGCCAGATGCTTCAGTGCATGCAGTGCCTGGAAGAGACTCGCACTGCCTGGTGTCACTTCTGCACAAAGACATTTCAATATTGTTTTTCCCCGATCCAGTAATGAGTCTGATGTGGTAGTTAGAACTCCAAACATCATGCTTTCTGTCTCTAGGCTGGAGTTCAACTTATTTGATGTTTCCAACGTCTTTCACATGTTGTGACAGTTTTTCACATTTCATTATTAAAGAACTTTAACTATCTTTTCAGGTTCAAATCCTGTGCCTTAATAGCTTCTTAGTTTAGCTGCCATCCTTCTGGCTCAAAAAAAAAAAAAAAAAAGAAGTATGATTTCAACCAGACCCTGCCACTGTTCTTTTATAATCTTTGTGACTATCAAGCCACATGCACTTCACAGGTTTTGATATAAGTAAAAATCCAGGGGGAGGGGGCACTTTTCTAACAGCGGTTCTAATCTTTGACATAAAAACATCCTCTCTGCATGCGTGTACTTTCCTATGAAAGCTGATAGCATTTCACATTAAAAATGAAAACAGCCCTTGTGGATCTACAGGTCCACTGTGGATTAATAAATATATTTATATAAAAACCCACTGTGGATTTATTACTCCCAATTTAAAGCTGGAGAAAATGAGAAGATTGTTTAGTTGGTGGCAATACTTTCACTCTAGTTGAGAACACAGTCAGATTTGAGAAATGGGGGATTCCGAGCTTTGTGCTCCTTGTCACTAGGGCACACCCTGCCAGTTGAAATAGGCAGCTTAAACCTCTTAGCTGATTAGAGCTGGTTTAAGGTTTTTTGGTTTGTGTTGTGTATCTGTTCTGTTCAGAGATGTGAGCGAGAAATAATCACAACAGGTGTAGCTTGCATTCGGGGGTTTTGTTGGACTGCAGTTCTCCAACGATGGATGATGCAATGCAAAATACATGGTTTCTTCAGCAGTATGCTCTGAAGATTCTGGCACTGGATTAACAGTCGATTTCTGTTCTCAGACCTGTGGTTTTTTTTAAATCACTTCCATGCTCAGTGCCCAATCTGTTCCATCAGTAAAATGGGAAGAATGACAGTACCTGTGCTTTGTATTTGGAGACCTATTAAAGACTTGAAGAAATTACAGAAGACATGGGTGCTGTCGCTCTGATGGGAGGTTGTTAGTCCAGAGTTAAAATGGAAATCTGCTGAAAAAAACAGTTAAGTCAGCAAATGTTGACTAAGATAATTTGCACTTTAAAAAATTAGTGAAGTGTGCATATGTGCACGCACATGAAATACGTGTGCCATTAGTATAGAAACAATTGAGTAGTTTTCCCTATTTCAGGCAGTTTTAAAGTTTCAGCACTTTATGTCTCAGCATACTAATGGTGTGTTCACTTCACTCTGTTTGAAAGTGAAGTAATAGATTTGAGCCTCTGCCTGTCCTGGAATTTGGAGAACTTTGAAAACTTATTCGTAGTGTTTAATACCACTTGAACAGGTTCTCATGGTGAGTTTCGGTTTCTACAGAAGCAGAGAGGGATTGGGTTGGGCAGATGAGCATCCATCCAGTGTGATACAGAACTGAACTGATGTGCCTGTTTTCTGAGTCATTGCATGGCCCTGCTCCTTTTTGCCAGCCAGCATAAGATTCACATGAATTAGCTTGGATCACAAACTTGCCCAGAATTTAGTTCTTTCTCTATTAATGTAATTTATTATTACTTACATTTATGCAGTGGTAGTATGCACAAACCAACCAGACCTGGACCCTGTTGCAACAGACATTGTAAAATACAGTAAATGGCAGATAGCAGCATCTTCTTTGAAGAGTTTTTACCCTTACCCCCAACCTCGCCCCCAAGACCAAACATGCTGCATTTATGCAAATGCCTCTGATACCAGACTGAAATTTATAAATGTCCTGTGTTGCTCTGATTATTGTATAATGTAGTACACAAACATGTACTTCTGTTCAATCAGAAATTCACTATATGATTGTATGAATTTAGTTTCGTTTACAGCAAAAGAAAAATATTAGATTAGGGTAAACCAGTATGCAAAAACTTAAGAGAGAATGCAGGATTGGAAAAGGTCTTTATTCATCCAAAACAATAAGAAGTTTGAAAGTCCCCTCTCTTCAAAGAGAAGGGTTGATTGGAAGGTTGACCACACAGGTCTTCATCCCTTATTCTTTATAACTTCTAAGGCATTAAAAGTTCCTGTCAGCCATGTTATTTAAAATAATCTGAACTGATGTAACTTCTTTTTTTTTCGTGTAATGCTAATGCTTTAAAATAAATTTTCCTCAAGTTTGCTCCTCATATTAAATAATTGGATTTTTTGTGAAGATATTTATGACAACAGTCAAGAAAGAATCATGGTTGCTGGAATTCAGTGTCAGGCATGAAATAGGATACTGTAGCTGTCACCTTTGTCTTAAAGCAGGGAAATGACCGGTTTTTCTCTTGGGAGAGAGGTAAATACAGAGTACTTGAAGAAGCCAAAAAAGGGAGAGAAATTCAGTTAGCCTGGTAACTGTTAGAGAGTTATAACTAGAAAAATATGTCCACAAACAGGTATTTCCAATTGGTTCCAAGTCAATTCACTTAACTGCGGATTGCATATGACTGCAGCTCTCTTCACTTCTTCATGTGCAGTGGCTCATAATATTCTTGGAATTCTGCTAAAAAAAAAAATCTCAGATGTAGTGATCTTGAAACAGGAAGGTTGTCCTTTTTTGAGGGAAGATCATTTTATGTTGTTTACCCTAAGTTAATATTTGTTGTTGGTCTAGAAGTAAATTATACTGGGTAAAGGTCAACATTACACAACTGAATATCATGTATATACACAGTTTAGGATATATATGTTGTGTTCTCACCAGCGCAGTTCATTGTGGTTATCTCAAGAAGAGGAGAAAAGCCGCCCAGTACTGTAACTCTGCCTGTGGGGTTTTCATGTGATGCATGAATTTCACATTTTTCTAAATGTGTTGTACTCATGAGCATGATACTGATTCAGTGGTACTTCTCCTGACTCGCTCTGTAGTATGTCTGCTATAGGAAGTATTACGGAAATGCACGTTTCAGTTCATTTAAAGAAATCTCTCCAGGGCCACTAATGGATGTGGAAGTTTAGCAGAGACAAGCCCAAGCAGTGTGCCTGTTAGTTTTGGGATGTGATTTTATTTTTTTTTTTAAGATTACTGTGCTACTACTTGCCCAAGTGTGTACATGGTAACTTCAGGGGGAAGAAAAGATGATTTGGAGTAAAGGGGGAAATTGTATAAATTTTGAGGGTTTAAAGCAACCTGACACTTAGACTGTGTATTACTTTAAATCATTTGCAAAAGAGTGTTTTTTTGCTGATGCATATTATAGTTTAACACTAACACTTAAAGGCCTTTGTGCTTTGTGTGCAGGTATATGTCTCGAGTCCATGGTATGCATCCAAAAGAAACCACACGTCAGCTGAGTTTAGCAGTCAAGGATGGTCTTATTGTTGAAACCCTGACGGTGGGGTGTAAAGGGTCAAAAGCTGGTATTGAACAAGAAGGATATTGGTTGCCAGGAGATGAGATTGTGAGTATAAAATCTTTGAGAAAATAAATCACGATTTCTGATATCTTAGCATGAAACTTGTTTGATTTTCCATTTAAAGTTTAAAGTTTTTCCATTTGAACAGATGCTGTGTCGGTGCTTGTGAACGGGGAAGTAATGCACTCTTAACCTTTTCTATTCCATAGAAAACTCTTAACCTTTTCTATTCCATAGAAGCTCTTTCTTCTTGAATTCTGAGTTTTTTGCTATGAAACACTGGCAAGTCTTTTGCTCAGTCATGTCTCACTTTTACATAGTGTTCTCATCTACAGCTGTACAGGAAGGCAGTAAATATTATTGGTATTACTTGAAATCCTCAGACGTCCTCAAATTCCAAAGAAAGTATCTTTAAAAAAAAACACAAGAATTTTTTATTAATCTCAGTTTAATCTAAATCTGAGCAAGGAAGAACTCCTTTTTAAAAGTGCAACAAGAAGTTGTACATTTATATACAAACACACATGAAAACATATGTTTTACGGGTATATACCAGGGCACTCGGTTTGGAAGGATTTTCTTAGCAAATCAGTTACAGGCATCCAGACATTGTTCCACTGGATGTGTAAAATAATATTTAGAGTTAAACAGATTGAAAATTATGTGAAGGGAAGAAAAGCATGTTTTTTCTATCCCTCCAAAGCTGAGGTTGAATGCACTCGCAAAGTTAACTGAGAATAGTCCCATACAGCAGGAAAACACTTGCGCAATTGCTTTGCCTTGTTCAGAAGCCTGGTCTCTGTATTTACAAGACCACATTTTTGTAATTAAGAAAAAGACTTTGGCAAAGCTTTAAAATACTTAAACTATGAACTGTTGCTTTGGAATATAAATTGCATTAAATGCTGGTAAAATGGACAGCATTGTCCAGGACATAGATAATAATTTACATTTTGAGGAAAACCAGAAAAACTCTACAGGAAAATAAATTCTAAACCCCATGGAAATACTCACAGCATTATTGCAGCCATCAATAAGATCCTGAAACAACAGGTTATTTTTAAAGTGAGAGAAATAATAAGTGGAAACAGGCAGTATCCATAATAGAAAACATTATGATTAAAATTATCCCAGTTATACTAATTTAAAGTATTGAAATAGGTATTTAGTGTACATTATATCACTGTTGAGATTCTCATTCTAATTTCATTAGAAACTGTTAAGGGAGCCTTTAAAGGGCATGTAGCTGTGTTTTAACTGTTCTCCCGGGGAGTGAGCATTTCAGAATTCCAGCTTAGCTCTTTTAGGTGTTTCTTTTGTCAGTTTTATCTGTTTAGAGGTGATACTAACTGTGTAGACTCAACATGACATAAAGTCTGAGATCTGTAGTTATCTGAACTATTCAGTATGTTTGTTTCCTCTGATGCCAAGAGGGGGGAAAAAAGAATAAAAAGAATCAAAATGGCTCACAACAGCCATTTCTTAAACAATCCTTCAAAAAATGTTCCTGCTACTTATTAGCAACATTTTTCTAACAAAGCTTGCAAGACAACCAGCATATAAATTCCCTGTGAGTCTTTAGAATTACATAATTATTTTACCTCAGAATTAAGAGCTTGACTGGACTGAAGATGCTGCTGAAGTCACATTATGAATAGCCCTTTGGTTAGAAGTATTGACTGTATTTTCAGCATGACAGCTAGTCACTGATGCCTTGTACTGTGCCCATATGACTGGTGGCCATCTCGGTTGTTCAGAACACCAATGTGCACTTGACTTAACAGTTCTGTGCGAAAATAGGAATCAGCTTCTGATCCAGGCCATGTTTCAGCAGTACCCAGCCTCCAGCTTCTTAATCCTAATACTGAATCCAAATGCTGCAGACACATGACTTGGTATAAAGTCATTCTCTTTGTTCTTTTATTCAAAAAAATTGTAATGAATAACAAAGTGTCATTGTCATCACTTGACATCAGATCAAGTATTTTCCATTCTCCAACAATTGGTGCAAAACCATGAAGTTTGGTATGTTCTCTACATTGGACACACTGGATAGTTTTACAGATGCTTTGTCTGCTCTTGATCAAGATGTAGTTTGTCGTTCCTTGTAACTCAGTACTGCTCAGATCTGGTACAAATGACTGTTGAACCATGAGCTCAAGTTACATTTCAGTGAGGACAAACACAGAACTCTTTTCAGAGATCCCCTTTTAGGAGATAGAACTCTATGAAAGAGGGCTGTTAATGTTGGAACAGGGATTTTCAGGCTCATCAAACTTTAGCACTTACAGACAGGCCCTTGACCCAATTGTCAAACTCAGTTTGAGTGGTACTGCAGGAACTTGGAAAGCTCATAATGTGCGAAAGAAAGATTTGAGAACTGATCCACCACCTGTTGGCAACAGTACCAAAATGCCCTTGGATTTTAGCTTATTTTCTGGCACCACAGTGGTAGTCAGAAAGGATCAGCTGTGTCACGGAGTTAGC